CACCGAGCGTCATTCAGAGAATTCTCATCTAAAGATATTTAATGATTTAAGGCTCTTCAAGAAAAAACGTAATGATAAAATTAGTTTAGTATTTTTAAGCCTTAATATTATGACAACTTAAACTTCACAATGTATTTGAAACGAAGTTGTAGAACTCTTAAAAACCTGTAGTGACCTACTTTTATCAAGAGAAGGCAATTGGTATAATGGAAACTATTATTATTATTATTATTATTATTATTATTATTATTATTATTATTATTATTATTATTATTATTATTATTATTATTATTATTATTATAACCGACTGTACCAGTAATTGTTTTACTGTGCTTGTTTGTTTAACTGTACTAAAAACGTACATTCTTCAGTTGACTGTGACCCTGCACGCTTTCGGTTACGCTCTGTAGTTCCACTTATACTCTTTGGCACGATCTCGGTATTCTTTCGATACCACAAGATTGCCAACAAATATATCTTATTACAACCGTCAACTGACTTTTGGCTTTTTGCCTACGAAGGGATCCGACCTAATAACTGACAGGTAGTCTCAGTGTAGTAGTGATCATAGTCAACCGCGACTCGACGCCATGCTACAAACCAATCTCATCATACTTCTCTTATAACTCCTCACTATAGTTTTCAGTTAACTCTTTCAAAGGAATATTAAACACCTTAATATGTCTTAAATCTACAAAAATAAATTTTGTCATTTTTTGAACGGTGAAACTGAAAAGTTCACAATTTATTTTCTTCGAACTTAACCTAGAAAAGAAAAGAAAAACAAGGGCGAAAACTAGTTTACTGACAAAATAAAGTAGTGTCATTTAAGGGATGAAAATGGAAAGAGAATGAAATTGTTTCCATACGAATGGAATGTATTCTAAAAATCTAACTAAATTGAGTGTAATATCTAATGTAAATTCCGAAATCCTCATTAATACCAATAGACTTGGATAGAAAAATGGTTCAATGACACATTTTAGTTTATGTATATCGAAAGTTAGTAATGCACAATTAATTTTGTATAGTAATGAGGAAAACTTCGCAGATGATCTGGCCCTCCTATCGCAATCGCAACGACAAATGCAGGAGAAAACGACCAGCGTAGCAGCAGCCTCAGCAGCAGTAGGTCTCAATATACACAAAAGGAAAATCAAGATTCTCCGATACAACACAGCATGCACCAATCCAATCAAAATTGACGGAGAAGATTTGGAAGATGTAAAAACCTTTACATATTTGGGCAGCATCATTGATGAACACGGTGGGTCTGATGCAGATGTAAAAGCACGGATCGGTAAAGCAAGAGCAGCTTATTTACAATTGAAGAACATCTGGAACTCAAAACAACTGTCAGCCAACACCAAGGTCAAGATTTTCAATACAAATGTCAAGACAGTTCTACTGTATGGGGCAGAAACCTCGAGAACTGCGAAAGCCATCATCCAGAAGATACAGGTGTTTTATAACAGTTGTCTACGTAAAATACTTCGGATCCGTTGACTAAACACTATCAGCAACAACGCGTTCTGGGATAGAACAAACCAAATCTCAGCGGAGGAAGAAATCAAGAACAAGCGCTGGAAGTGGATAGGACACACATTGAGAAAACCACCCAACTGCATCACAAGACAAGCCCTCACATGGAATCCTCAAGGCCAAAGGAAAAGAGGAAGACCAAAGAACACATTACGCCGCGAAATGGAGATAGACATGAGAAAAATGAACAAGAATTGGATGGAATTAGAAAAGTAGGCCCAGGACATAGTAGGTTGAAGAATGCTGGTCGGCGGACTATGCTCCATTAGGAGTAACAGGCGTAAGTAAGTAATGATGAAACAAAATATACATAAATACAGTTAACAATAGAAAGGATATATATAACAAAAAAACAAGTGAATAGTCATAAGGAAAGAAATATATAGAGGATTTTCTTCATATATCCGTCTAGGCAGCAAGCAGAATGTGTCCTACATCTAATACTAATATGATAAGTTATATTATTTAGAATGACAGAACAGATAATTAACTATTTAAATCCTCAGTACTGTTATAAATTGAAAATTATCAAATCATTTGAAGCCACAACAGTTTAGAGGATATCTCTTAATGACGATAGGATCTATGCGTTCCGTAAAACTGTACGACCGATCTCCAAGCTGTTAAAAGAGAAATGATAGAAATCCAGCAAAAGCTTGGTATTTTAAAAAGCCGAAACTATGACTTGACAATTCTTTTTACGTAGAAACACTTATGACCTTGGAATATTTTTAAAAATGAACTACAAAAGCAAGCCATCAATCAGATGATAGCAATGGTTAGTATGATAATATGGATTTAAAGTTAATGAGAAATTCCTTGTTCATCAAAACTAAAACTGGTTAACACTAGCAAAAAGCTATGTAATTTGAACCCCTCCCATCAAGTATTGGATTATGCTTTGAATAGAATAATAATAATAAGCTGTTTAAACTGATATTGATAACTCTCGCTATATGAAGTGATAACAATCTTTGTAGTTTCCAATAAAATAAATTAAAGACAGGGGTATTACAGTTTTAATAAGTTGGTCATAAAGACTTGCGTATAAACTTATTCAGTTTTATAGCTTTTGATCTAACCAAATAATAATCGTACGCCAAACTTCAAACTTTGAGGAAAACGCGGTCACTAAAGTGAAAAATTTGGGAAATGAAACAAAGATCACTTTTTCCCTACTAGACTGAGGAATCTTTGCAAAATTTCCACATCTCCCCCAAAAAACGTCACGTCACTGATAAGTACATGCTTATAATTAACTAACTTCTAGATTGATTTTAAGAATTTTGAATAGGGATTTGTAGTTTATAAGTTTAATTAAGTTTGAAGTGATTTATCTACGGCATGGAATAAGCATAGAGTTATCCTACGAATTATCTATAAATTAAAATGTAGACCATTGGTTTTATGATTAACTTCACCGTTATCACCATTAACGAATTCAATAACACTACAATTGTATACGATTATTCAAACTTTAAAACTTATGCGATTATATGTATTAAATATAAGACTATAAATTGAATAGTTTTACGCTTTTACTTATTCATTCCATCTTCATAATTACCTCTTAGTGAAATGATCCAAAAATATTACTTTCCTTGCTAGGTATAACGACTTAAAGCATAATCATTTTACAATTTATAACAACACATCATCGAGGAATCTTATAGAAGAGTTAAACAACTGTTTTATGCCTTCATTTATTTCATTTTATTGAAATATAAATTTAATAATTTCAGTGGTTAACATCATTGAAGCTAGACCACCATGGAAAATCTGGAAGCACTGGACGGCCGTTTCGTCCTATTGTGGGACTCCTCAGCTTCAACTGACTCATGATCTTAATCATTGAAATTACTATAATATCCACAAAACCCACCTGATATAAATTTAATAGTTAAATTCATAAGTCAATGTAAACTAGACCACCATGTGAAACTTGAAAAGCACAGGACGAAACGATCATCCAGTGCTTCCAGGTTTTCCTATAGTGGTTTAGCTTATATTGACTCAGAAATTCAACTATTAAATTACTAAAAACTTCACAAAACCCTCTTCTGAAATAATAACAAAAAATTATCAAAAATTCTAATTTAACTAATATCATATTTTCAGAAGGGGTTTGTGGAGATTTTAGAAATTTTCACAGATTTAAATCATGAGTCAGTTAAAGCTAGACCACCATTGAAAACCTGGAAGCACTGGACGGCCGTTTCGTCCTAGTATGGGACTCCTCAGCAGTGCGCATCCACGATCCCGCACTACGCGGGGCTCGAACCCAGGACCTACTGGCTAGCTTCAACTGACTCATGATTTAAATCTGTGAAAATTTCTAAAATCTCCACAAACCCCTTCTGATAATAATCATCTGCTCACTAGTGACTGACTTCAAGAGATACTCATGGAGTTCTAGTGGGAAGCCGTCACCAGTGGAGTACAACCAGGTCTGTTGTGAGATATCAGCTCACTGAAGACAATGGTATATGGTGGCGCAACTTCGTGGATTGGTTGAAGTTAGACATTAACACCGTTGGATGCCGGCTCAGTGGTCTAATGGTTAAGTGCTCACGCGCGAAGCCAGTAGATCCTGGGTTCGAGCCCCGCGTGGTGCGGGATCGTGGATGCGCACTGCTGAGGAGTCCCATACTAGGACGAAACGGCCGTCCAGTGCTTCAAGGTTTTCAACGGTGGTCTAGCTTCAAATGACTCATGATTTAAATCTGTGATAATATCATACTTATGAATAGAACAACATTTAAAATATACACATAAATTATGAATGAATATAAACAAAATTAAATATTCAATAATTATGTTCAACTTAATCAATATCAATTACACAATATTGAATTATAGTTATGAATTTTGTTGTTTCTTTTTTATGATTTAAACATATTCAAATTTAAAATATTAGAAATGTCAATAGTATTTCTTTTAATTTAAAAAAAAAAGAAGAAAGAAAACACCAACCTAGAAACATAAAATAAACGAGAAAATCAACAAAATTGAAAATAGAAAGAAAAATGAATAAGTAAGTATGTGTATTATTGAATCAAGTCTATTTATTTGTAGTAAAAAGAAAAGAAAAGAAAAGTAAAATATCATTTATTATTTGAATGACCAATCAAATATTGTTGTATATTTTGTTTTATTATTATTATTATTTAAAATTTGTTTCCTTTTTTAATTATAATCTAATGACTTAAAGAAACAATAAATATGTAATGTATATGCTAATGTATGTACAATCATAGATCACACTTTGGTGAATTCGATTCAAATATAACTAACATTTAAGGAGAAATTATTGATATATATATATATAAAGATTAATAGTTTAAATGAAAGCGACTAGAAGAATTTAGCTAATCTAATCATTCATTAGTCAATTAATGTATAAGTAATCATTATGTATATGGTACGTGTATAGAATACTTTAAATTGAAAAGGTCATTGTGAAAAATTATAGTAAAGACTAATGATTATGATCTGGTAACTTATAAAAATAATCTACTTGAAATAATATGTAAATATTGCAGTATGATATTTGTATTCATAGAAGCTACTCTGAATAAAGGTATTATACTTAGTTACTTACTTACGTCTGTGATCCCTAATGAAGCATAGGCCACCGACCAGCAAAATAATTGTGTGTTTTTTTCTTTTCAAATTAATATTCAATGATTTGCACTAAGTAACCGTTCATTACCTAATGTAATCAGATTTAAAATGTAGAATAATTGGTCAACTTACTGAATGTTATATACTATTATGGAATATTGTAGTGAATGAGAATACAAGAATATATATATATAATAACAGCCTATAAATAACTCCTAACAGTTACCATTTATTGATTCATCGACAGGATATAACAATAATTACGATGAATGAAGATAATATGCTATTCCTTTCGATACTATGATAATGATTTGTAGTAATTTTGAAGTTTCGAAACTCTTTCACTGAATTTCTTCCCACAAATTTTGATTGGCTTGATGTGATATCATGTGCAGTCATTCCTTCTTTTTTTTGCATCATTATCTACGTTGTTTTAGAAAAAAACATTATGGACATCCAGTTTATAGGATAGATGATTCCCTACTGATTATGAAATATTGCGATGCAGAGTATGGTAGTGCACAATATTTCTTCATAACATTCGAATTCCTGAGAATAGAGACACAATATCAAATCTGCTTAATCCTAGTAATTTAGGCATTCTTTTTTCTCACTCAAGTTTATCCTTTAATGATGATGACTAAATAGAGAGGAAGCAAACTAGCTAACCTATGTGAGTCATTGAGCAACAACACCTTTATAAACTTCATACAGTAACGTCAGTACTATAGAATTGTGTCTGTAAAAAATAGACAGTCCTAACAATTTAATCAGAGTTGGGAATCACCAATTGAATGTACCTAAAATTGTGATACTCATTGACAAAATAATCACTTACGAAAGGGAAGTGCAAAACTGTTCAAAGTAGATGATTCTTCGTCATCAACTAAGTGAAATCATGCAAATGAATTCGTATACAACAGTTAGTTTGGAATGCATTGTGAAACACCTTTGTAAAATTGAAAAATACCTTTATCTTGTGTATAGGAAAATCACTTATCTTCTGTAAATACTGAAATACCATAATCATTTAAAACACTTCTAAATGTTCTGTTGTTTGTTGCATTGCGATAGATCAATGGTTTACAATTTATCTTAACCTTCTACAACTAAACGTTAACTATTTTATAGCCAATAAAGATAAGATACCAAATAAATAATTGTACGTAAGTCTATTATTATCATATACATGTACTAATCATTCGCCCAGACATTCTAATTGGTCATTTCATATCATTCACTTATAAACTAATTTCATACTTTTTGTAAGCAATGATGGATAGTGGCTAACAGTGAAATGGAAGACGCGCGTTTCGTCCTATTTGGGACTCATCAGTTGGATGTGCCTGCATCTCAGAGTTGATGTTCACTCTGGGACTCGAACCCAGTACCATTCGCTTCAAACACCATCGCATTGTCCACTCAGCTACTGAGTCCTGATAGCAACATCAACTCTGAAATGCAGGCACATCCAACTGACGAGTTTCAAATAGGATGAAACGAGAGTCCTAGATCCCACTGCTACCCACTATCCCACCTTGATCATAATTCTTGTGAATTAAGGCAAATATCAAGGCAATATGCACAGTATGCACATATGCCAATAACAGACTGATCAATTGCAGTTTTAAACCTCAATGGGAAGATACAAGTCAAACAATACCAAGTGGATTTAATAACCTAGTTTCATTATTTTAACATTTTCATTTAAAATTATAACAGTTACTACGTTGTTGTATATTTTCTTTTCAGAATCATGCTATATATATGGAATCTGATCAATAGTCTACTATGGTATAGACACAAAAAACGGAAATGAATTACTATTGTAAAGTTTCCAATAAGCATACACAGTCAAATCAGTTTTACCGTAATATTTTACAGTAAATTTCCATGACATTTATGGTTATAGACTAAAAGATAATGACATATATATGAATAACATTTTTATGACTAAATTATTATTGTTATTTATTGTTACTATGCTTATAATTTACGTAACAAACAGACAATTGAGGGTTATAAAAAAAAACAACTAGACAATTAAAACTACTATTTTCGTCACATGATCAATCTATATTAAATGAATAATTAAATTAAAATATTAACCTATCAAAATTATGGAAATTTCTTGATAATTGGTTTTACTTACTTTACTTACTTACGCCTGTTACTCCCAATGGAGCATAGGCCGCCGACAAGTTGATAATTGAAGTATATTGTAAAATACTGACAAAATTATCAACAGTTAAAAATGTCATATTATTAGAATGGAGATTTGTGGAGATTGTAATAAGTTGAATAATTGAATTCATAAGTCAATATAAACTAGACCACCATTGAGAACCTGGAAGTACTGGATAGTCGTTGCGTCCTAGTATGGGACTCCTCAGTAGTGCACATCAATGATCCTACACCTAAAGGACTTGAACTCGGAACATTCGGTCTCATGTGCAAACGCTTAACCTCTAGACTACTGAGAAGCCGTGACCAGTGGAGTCCATTTCGTGTCGGATAGAGACAGGTATGTACCTCAGACAATGGATGAATTGTTGCGCAAGATCATGGGTCGATGAACACTATTGGATACCGGATTAGTGGTATAGAGGTTAAGCGTTCGAGCACGAGACCGAAGATCCTAGGTTCGAGTCCCCTTGGTGTAGGATCATGGATGCGCACTGCTGAGGTTTCCTATACTAGGACGAAACGGTCGTACAGTGTTTCCAGGTTTTCCATGGTGGCTTAGCTTACATTAAAAATGTCATACAAAGTATAAGCAGTTAAATCAAATAAAATCAAGGTGTAACAAAAATTTTCCAACGTTTGTGCATATGTATTTGTTCAACTCATCGCATAGACTGTATTACTATTTCAATGCATTTTTTTAAGTTCGCAGTACAGAAATCACTTATAGATATGTTGAGAGTCATTGTATGATGGAAATTCTTTTATCTCCAATTAGAACAATAATATTCAATTAACAAATTCAACCAGGATTGAATTATTAAACCTTCAATTCTTTTAATAATGACGATAACTTTAAACAACTAGTTTAAATTAATGATTCCTATTCAATAGTTCAGCCAATCTAAAATTCAATACAAATGTAATAAAATGCTCTTTATGTGTCATTGTATTACTCTTGATATTAGTATAAAACACGATTGTTGTTTAATCAAATATAAAAATGTCAAAATGTCACAAACTGTTTAACTGAAATAACTAAATGTATAAGCAACATAGAGTCCTTTTTACGAATGATTGATCACTGGGCAATGACCAACGTAAAGTACGTCAAGTCATTTGTACTGCTGACTGAATTCTATGGATCAAGTTACACTATGACTACTGGTATAAGTGACGAGACATTACATGAATTATATTGCTATATAAGGTAGTAGTCACAGTTAATCGACAGGAAACCCTGAACCTAGACTTCGTGCTATTTGGCTCTCGTCAGCAAGGTCTATCTGTAATGTTGAAGGAATTAATGCTCCTTAGCGGATCTGATCTCGTTTCATCCAGCTTCACAACTAGAAATGTTAACATTGAGCTGTCTGACCCGAAACTAACGGGTGCCAGACAGCACGACACTTAGGTCTAGGGTTTTATGTTGACTACATCAAGACACCCCATCACATAAAAAAGTAGAACTTCTTAGGAAAGTGAGTTTGTTCAATAATAGCTAAACATCACAAGAGTAAATAAAATATGACTAACAAAAATGAATAAATATTTGAGAAACAGCCAGAGCAGCATTACTGGATAGGAAATTAACAGAGTCAGTAAGATGATTTATAAGGGGCAAGAACAGGAAATAAATCAACCCATTAATCGGTTATTTACTGTAATGAACTGGAAACAATATTACTGATATTGTTCATAGTACTATATATTTACTAAAGATTCAGATATCACCGAGACCTTATTTCGACAAAAACTGGAGTACCCCAACCCTGTCACCTCCTTTAAAATACTCTTCACAATTTCCGGCAATATACTTACCTCAGAGCCTTCCATAGTTTAAAAGATCCTTGAAAATCCTCTTCGGGCTGTTTCACCGTCAACTATCTTAGTTAGAGTATATATCGGAGGGACTGAAGAAACCTCAACTTCATTGATTAGTGAGTGAATAAATTCAGACTACCAAGCTCATATATATATATATATATATATATGGCCATGTGTTATAAATACTAAAATGTAATACCAAACACAATGTTAACATTCACTATCCGGTTGATAGATACAGATTATTCAAAGTAATTTATAGGATGAAAACAAACCTGTCATTTACCTGTATCGGATCACAAAATTATTCCTTGTTTGTCAGATAATTTTAACACAGCATTTCTGACTGAAAGTGTTTTTCGACAGTTGCTGCTGCTTTTATATGGTGATTGAGTTTACCCGTTTAAGTGACTCAATTGAACTATATTAGCTCAAATAATGGTATCTTTATAATCTACCATGTCGAGCAGATCGGTCGGAGAATGAAAAGACTAAAAATAGCAACTCAAGTTCTTGGATAGAATTAGTGCTTCTGACTGTACTACAGTGTAACGTCAGTCAGGTATCTTAGATAACCAACATTCACGATGAGGCTGTCTCCTCATAACTGAAAGAGAAGATTAGAAAAGTTTGGCTCAGAAAAAATCACACTTAACCTTATCCCACCGGTTTTCATCTCCAACGGCAAGGCCTTTTGAAGTAAAGAGCTATATCATATAAAGCAACTCGAAAAAAGATCTTTTGTGACCAGCCTCATTTAGGTGTCTGCCGTTTTCTGTGATGACGATTCTAGGTCGTTGAGACTATCAGCAATGTACTTTCTTCTTCAGATCCCCAAGATGAAATATCCTTACACGGTGTGAGCTTCCATGTAGATGACCACTCTCCGTCATACCTCTAACACCGTGTGAAAACACTATTCACCTGATCCGTCCTTTCTTATTGTATTATTAACTCCATGGGATGATGCTGTCTGTCATGTTTTCAATATTCTTATAATATATTGTAACCAGTATATTTGGTCATTTTTCGGTTCATTTAGTAGATGAATCCTGCATACTAAAATCCAATTCATACTAAAGATTTTACTTCAAGCGTCCGGAGCTATCCACAGCTGTCTTCTGTGATCAAATCGGAGTTGAGCAACCCATCATTGTAGATGAAAAATAAAAGTCTGTCGAAAGCTGAGATTAGAAATAAAACCCAATAAAAATGGCAGTACATTGCTTGGACACTGAGAATGTTATAGATTATCTGAGAAATTCCCTGCCTTACAAAACTGATTTTTTTTCTTTTTGTTATGATTTGAGATGCTAATTCATATCACGTACTAAACTTACTCATTAGAATTCTGATTATAATTTTTTCCCATCCCGCATCTATTATTCCGTCTACGGCCTAGTTTCCGAGTTTTAATGTTCTGATTTGTGTAGTTTACCTTCACTCAGCGTGAGCTAGCTCCTATTGATCTGCTATCCTCAAGGGGCGAAACTATAAGTTATGAACGAACCAGTGAAGTTAAAGTCTTGGATTTTGGCAAGAACTTCATCCATCCATTCGGCTAAATCGAATCTAGCCATTATAGCTGATGCAAGATCGTGATAAAAACCCTAACTCTAATCCCTAACCCTATCTTCTAACTCTTAATCCTCATTCCTATTCCTCATGTTGATGCATAACACTCTTTTGATCCTAGTAAATAAGTGTTCATCAAGGTCACTTTAGCGTCATTCATAGGTCGTCTATAAATTATAGTCTCACCCTTCAAGCTTTTCTCTATCCACTCTATTGTGTCCGAAGAGAATCAAACAGGCAGGTCTAGTAGAAACATACAATGAGGAGAATATAAAATGTAATAATGCGTTTATTTACTAACTGTACAACAAATATATAATAATTATAATTCGGAAAATGTTTTCAAAAGTTCCATAATAACAATTGTTATTCCTTTTCCAGATTTGAGGACGTTTGTAGGTTTAGTGAAATGTCACTGAGCCCTAGCCAAATCATTCATTAGGCTGAACTATTTATACGTTAGATGACAGATCACTG